CTATCTGTCCCAGTGCGGTACACTGTAGGCTGAGGGGAGTTCTTCTAACAAGTCAATGCTCTTCCTGTCCTGATGGCCAACCAGGCCTCCAGGCTTCTTCCACTTGCAGAGTCTGAGGGCTTAAAGACAACTTAAACTCCCAATGAAGAGCCAGACAGGCCTTGGAGCAGGGGAGTGGAGAGGCAAGGAAGAAAAATGGCGGGAGTGGTGTTCTCCTCAGTTCCTCCGCTACAGGTCTCCTAGCATGAGAGTTGCTGGCCTTGGTGAGGAGGGTGTGTAAGGGACAGGGACTCTTCAGAGGAGTGTGGTGTGGCCATACACTTTGAACCTAACAGAAAAGTAGCAAAGACTTTCCTGCAAGCCTGGCGATTATGTCTGTGATTTGAGCATGCAATGGACAAAGGCAAGATGAGTTCAAAGCTAGCTTGGGCTACATAGAGAATAAAAGGCTAGCCCAGGCGAGACTCTGCTTCAACAAAACCAGACTTTGGGAGACACAGACAGGCTTTCTTCTGAAGATGGGGCAGAGGTGGCCGAGGAAGGGCTTCCAGCTGTGTGCTCTTGTGCCCATCTTCCCTGTCAACAGCAACTCACTCTTTCTATCCTCTGGCCCCATGGCCCATGAGGGAAAATACCTCGTTGTACAAACCAGGGACAGAGCCTCCCACACGGGCCAGAGGGCCCAAGGGATGCAGGCTGCCAATGGGAATGAGACTCATGGGAGGAACCAGCCTGCAGCCTGGTGCCAGCCTGTCTTTATTTAAAAAACACTCTTGGCATTTGGCAGCAAAGGCACTTCCTAAGGGACGCAGGGTGGGAGTCACAGTTTAAGCCCTTAGTTCACAGGCCCGAGGGGGCTTTGTAAAGACAGTTGCTCTCCTGCTGAGCCCAAACCTACCATTTCCGCACTTCCTCCTCCTGAAGAGGAGGGCCTGACCACTGTGTGAAATGTTCTTAGAGATCTCCTGCTGAGGTGACAGGGCTCAGAGCAGAAAGGCAGCAGGCTCCCCACTGCCCCCAGGATGACATCCAAAGGCCTGCCAGCTGGATGCAGAGGCCACCCCTAACTCGCCTCAGCCACAGCTCCAGGCCGGCTCAGCATGCAGGAGCCATTCCGATCACCTAAGTTGCTGGGTCTTCTGGGTAGAGCTCACAAGCCTTCAAGACGCCTCTCTATGAAAAGTACCCCCTCACCACCTTCCAGGTGGTACTTTATACCCTCAAAATGGCCTTTCCCCAGGCAACATCTGGAGAAAGAGAAAAAGAGAGAGAGACAGAGAGAGAGAGAGAGAGAGAGAGAGAGACTCTCAGTCTCCATGGCAACATCTGGGTACTAGGCTAAAGGTTGCATTGTAGATTAGGACAAAGCAGGCCCAGTGGTGTTTCTAACTAGACATTCTGAAGATCCCACTCCTGCCTGGTTTGGCCAGGTCCCAGGGGAGCCCCGCTAGCCAGGTAATTTCTGCCTCAAGTATACACAGCTCCTCAACCTGCTGTAGTTGGATGTTTGCAGAGCTGACACAGCCATGCAGGTTCTGACATCATGTCCCAGGGCAACATTTCTGTGGGTTTCCACCCAAGGGGAATGGCTGCTACAGTCCCTTGCTTGGATGCTGGGTGCTGTTCCATGGCTTTCTATGGCACCTTGCTTTTTCTCTCCCCAATTGGCACCTTTTTTTTTTTTTTTTTTAAGACAAGCTCATAGCCTAGGCTGGCATGGGACCAGCAAGCCTCCTGCCTCAGCCTGCATCTTGGGACTTTCTAGCATCTGGGTTTTGTGGTGCATGCTGTAGTGTCACTAAAGATCAACAGGTTTGGAGACTTATCTCGTGACTTGACCACTAGAAACCTTCCTGTCCTCTCTTCCTGTCCTCTTTAAACACGTGCTCTTATCATTTGTTTGAATTTATTCTTCCTCTTGACAATTAAAGTGATTCGCACATAAAAAAGAAAAGCTAAATCCCCAGCCAGCTTCCCCATAGTGAGTAGTGCCTGCTCCCCTCTCCTCTGCTTATCCCCCCCCCCTTCCCACTCCCTTTCCTGATCTCCTGAGCACTTCCTAAATAAACTGTTATCAGCCATTCGCCTCAGGTGCGGCTGAGGGATCCCTCTTTGTGATCCATTCCTTCTTGCTATGAGCAAGATCTTCCTTGCAAGTTGCCATTGTGTGTGCGAAAATACTGCCTCAAGTATACACAGCTCCCCAACTTGCTGTAGTACGCTTGCACAACTGATACACCCATGCATGTTCCCATGTCACATCCCAGGGCGACATTTCCCAGAGCCTCAGCTTCCATCTCTAGAAGACAGAAGTTCTTTAGTCAGCAGACACTGACAGGAAATCATGTGAACCCAGCTACAACCACCAGCTTCATCTCAGGGGTCAAAAGCAGTAGATATGAAAACATCTGATACCCCAATGCAGGGTTCATACTGGCCCAACCCCATACCAATGCCTTCAGAGGTACTCCTTCAGCACAGCTGACATCCTCAAATGGAGAACTGTCTCCTCAAGGAGGTAAGGTGAAATCTCCCGCCCGCCCCCCCCCCCCCCCCCCGCAGGAAGACACCATGGTTAGTCTTTGTACAGTCAAAATTCCAAAACACGGGGGCTGGAGAGATGGCTCAGTGATTAAGAGCATTGCCTGCTCTTCCAAAGGTCCTGAGTTCAATTCCCAGCAACCACATGGTGGCTCACAACCATCTGTAATCAGGTCTGGTGCCCTTTTCTGGTCTGCAGACATACACACAGACAGAATATTGTATACTAAATAAATAAATAAATATAAAAAAAATTCCAAAACAGGACTCCAGAAATTATGATGAGTCTGTTAATGCTTGTCCTATATCAAGGACCAGCCTCGACAAAAATACCTCTTGCCAAGGTGGAGGTGTGGGGATTTAGAAATATAGTAAAGAATATGAAGACGCAAATGAAAATAATAAAATGGAGAAACATAGAATAGTATCGGGAGGGAATTCCAGTGAGTACTGAAAATTCACCCACATTTACTTTCCAACTGCTTAAAATACCCCTGACTCCCAAAGGTAGGAGTAAGACAAAAAATTGCAATGATATGATAGAAGGAAATGAATAGACCAGTTGAAGGTCGCGGGCTACATCAAACATTCCATTGCTAGAACAAATCAAGTAACGCTAACTCTTACCCTAGACCAAAACATTCCGTAGGCAAACCACTTCTTGAGTGGAATGCAAAGTCAAAGTTATCTCCTTAAGGGAACTAGGACCCTAGTTGGAGCCTTAGACTTTTGTTTGAGGTAGAAACATATCTACTTCTCTATTCCTGAAATACAAGGTCTGGCTATTAGCCACACCTGTTGACAAAAACCTTAAGAGATCAGAATTCTCTGACCTAAATTGCTGAGGGACAATGGTCTTTTATCCTGTCACTTGTATTATTTTTAATAAAATGCTGATTGACCCGTAGCCAGACAGGAAGTGTAGGTGGGGCAACGAGAATGCTGGGAAGAGGGAAGAGCAATCTGCAGTCGTGACACAAACACAGAGGAAGCAAGATGTGACTGCCTCTCTGAATAAGGTACCGAGCCACATGGCTAACACAGACAAGAGTAATGGGTTAATGTACGATGTAAG